TGAAATATCGCGATATTTCAGTGTATCGATATTTTCTTACACCCCTAGTATGGAGGCATCAGAAAACTGAAGTCACTCCTTTGCCTGTTCACGGCGCTCCCTTGTTACAGAGGTTAGGAGACCATGTTGACAAATACCCAGTGCTTTAAGTGGAACAAACAAAGTAAGTGTCAGTACTTTTACCCTTAATGTCATATAAACACGGGACAGAAACATGTTTTTATCAGTCTGTAGATCTAGGGTTTTATTGCACAGAAATGACAAAGAACAAATCCACGAGTCAAATTCAAAGTGTCTTGGAGCACATAGTACCTAATTACTTTTACTCACATTTACTTGAGTTTTGGAAATAAATGTACTTTTAGGAGTAGTTTTACTGCATCATATTTTTGTACTTTTACTTGACTAATATTACTATGAAGAATACTCTTGAATAAAACATCTGAATACAGGCTACTTTCCTAAATGAACAAACATGTTTTAACCCAATCTGCACCTGATACAGACACACAACTACAATTTGTTCAAATAAGATGTTTTGTTTGAACACGTTTGTTGATCTGATGTTAGTTTCTACCAGCTGAGACACTTGAAGGTGAAAAATAAATAGTAATAATAATAATAATAAGTTGTCACTGGACATATCTGTGACATATACATTACCTTTTGAATTAGTTTAATATATTTTAAATTAAAATATTTTTTGAAGTTTATTTTGCCTTAATTTGTTATTTTGTTCTAATTACATTATATTTATATTTACATATTTTTTGATGTTAGTCTTTAAAATGCCAAACTTGAACATGACTTTATACTTTTAGTCTGATTACATAATTTTTAAATCAGACGTTCTGCTCAGTCAGTCAGTACTCAGGTAGCCTTTTTACCAAGTACTTTTTTACTCTTATTTGTCCTACTGAATATCGTTTCCTATCATGATCTACTGTGATTTTAGTTATGTTCAGGTCTCATCATATGCTGTTCCTCTTCTGAATTAATTATTGCTCAAAAGGTCTTGCCATAGCCCTACAGGTTTGTTCATTTAGTTTCTTAGTTTATTGTTGCATTTTGTTCTTTGTAGTTTTCTTTTCTTGGTTTATTATGTCCTCTCAAATTTCTCCCTCGTTAGTTTAGTTAGTCTGCCTCCCCAGTAACACATTGACCAGCCATGTTTGTGTTTCAGCTGATCTGTCACTCAAGATTTTCACTTTTTACATTCTGTTTTTGTGTTTTCTTTCTTTTTTGTCTTCCATTCTGTGTCCTGTTCTTTTGTTCCTGAGCTCAGTCTGTGTGTGAGAGGAGCATGCTGTGGGCCAACAGCACGCTCCTTTCTTATCCAGCCTGTGTGGTCTAGACCAGTGTTTCCCAAGGTTGGAGTCGGGACCCAAAGTGGGGTCCTGAAACATCAAGGTGGGGTCCTGAAAAGATTTTCGGAATAAACGACATTTTTGCCTTAGTTGTTACAAAGGAGTGAGGTTAGTGTATTTAAAATGGATAAATGTAGTATAATAAATATTGTTACTATGCCTGTGTTTAGTTGACCTGATACTTGGGGGCACAGGTCTCTGCTGCTGTTATTTTGTGGGTCAAAAGCTGAAAAGTTTGGGAACCACTGCACTTTGGATCCCACAGTTGGGTCATAAACACCTTGGATAATCTCCAGAAATCAATTTAAAGGGTAATAAAATAATTGCCTATGTAATATTTTTATATAACTATTACAAAAACACAAAATAAGTATAAATAAGTATTTATATTTGTGTACAAGCTGTTTAGATTGTCAAAAAGCCTGTGTTTTTAGTGTTATTAACAAAGTTCGTGTACTCAGACCAGTAATATTTGGGGTCACAAGTTTTTGCCATGAATATTTTGGGGGTCAGAAGATAAAAAGTTTGGGAACCACTGATCTGGGAGCACATATAGTACCAGAAAAAGTGTCGGTATGCATCGGACTCAGGAAAAATTTCCACTTAAAGCACTGCAAATACCTGATGCCAGGGTTCACTTCTCTCTACACAAAGAAAACAAACAAGCATGCAAAAGAAAATTATTGTTCTCATTTTCATTTATCATACAGTTAATKGATTTATTGCGTATCGTGACAGGCCGAACAAGGCCCCGTGCTCATCCCCACTCACCACAAAGCACTCTGTCAGAGAAGTCTGGGTCTGGATCGGTTCGGTCTAACTGAGGAATAGGCTCCAATGTGGGTGACAAGGTTGGGTTCCACGCTGTGAGAGCGTTCTCCAGGGATCGTTCTGGCCAGCTGGTACAGAACAATGTCTTTAGCGTTCCCTTTGTAGCAGAATTTTTCACCCAGATACCCTGCCACCCTGAATGATGCATTGCCAGGGAAAAGCATGGCTGGGGTGCAGCACTCGGTGGCTGGGGAGACGGCATAAAGTTGTGGGGAAATTCTCCGGGCCTCCAGAAAGTAGTGTCTGCCCATCAGCTCCACAGCAACCATGAAATAGAGGGTGAAGAAGAGGAGATGTCTGACAGACAGAGTGAATGAGAATGAACAGGGGTTCCAGTGAGTGATAGTCAGGAGCAGAGCTACTGCTGCGAACAGCCCGAGCCCGACCCACTCCAGGATACGATAGGGCTCTGGGTTCCAGTAGCGCTGCAACCTTTCAGGGTGGTACAGCTTGACGTAGAGAGTGTGGAGGGCAAACCGACGAGACAGCAGGTTCTTAATAACAGGGAAGAAGTCCTCTCTTGGCAGAGCATCATCCTCCAGGACAATCACATTTTTGGGCTTGACCAGCTCCCACCCCTTGTGGAGACAGAAGACATAATCCCGCTTCTCTCTCTCGAAGGTGTTGATTTGACCCCAGTTCTGCCGTTCTTCAGCTGCAGGTCGTACCACCTTAAAGTGGGGCTCCAGCAGCTTGGCATCTGGGTTCTCCAGAGGACTGCTTTCCACGTCGCAGAGCAGCACCTCAGCACACTTCGACTTTCCACAGCTTCTCAACATGCTGCTCAACTGCCGCATCACCTGGAGCAGGTAGTGGAAGTCCTGCCCGTCGTCCCGCCTGGCTGTCACCACTGTAACCAGCAGCTCAGGACGCTGGGCAACATCACCGAATCTAAAGGACGCTGAAGCAGAGCTGTTCTGCCAGAAGCGGAGAGCATCCTGACCTCGCTCAAGGCTCTCCTGCAAGGCGCTCTCACTCGTTGAGTCCAGGTACATGGACTTCACGAAGTAGTAAGAATACAGTAGACGATGGCAGCACAAAGGAAGGACGACACAAAACGTGATGACACACAGGGTGAGGGCCTGAGTGAGAGAGCTGGACCATCGTAGGTGCTGAAGGAGGAAGGCTTTCCACTGAAACACTGGTGAAAGAACTGCGAGGAACTTGTTGACCACCATAATACCCAAAACACTCTAATTAAGACATCCAATCAGAAGTGTTTTAGGTAAACCTTTACAGCAGCTTGCTTTGAAGGTCCAACAACAAAGACATCAGGGAAGTGTGGTATAAACTGATGGATGTGTGGAGATGTTTGTCCAGAGAGAAGCAGCTCGGTTCTTGTTGCTCTGGGTCTGTAGAAAGACAAACACAAATATTTTACATTTATCAGCTGATCAGCATAAACACCACTTAGCTATATCATGAAAAATAATTACACAGTTTAAAAGATTAAAGGGGTCACTCTTATGTTTTCTAAGGTCAGCTGCCGTCTTAACTGGGAAGACTACAAAACAGATCAGCTATGTACATCCTATAATCATTTTCTAAAGGTTTTATTAAAATCTGTCCTGTGGGTAATACAGTATGTCCAGAATTATGGCTACGTTTGTATTAAATATGTCCAATCACAAAGTGGTGCATTTTCTTTGAAAYAAGACATGTAAACATTAAAAACCAATAATGAACAATACTGCTATCATACCACCATCATTGTGACAACACAATCGATGAGGCTTTATTGGGCAGGGGGTCTGGTCTTACCAAATAAACATTATTTATGCCTCCGCCCTGGAAGACGCCTACTGTTCTGTGGTTGTCTGTCACACTGTCTTGTGTGCACTGTAGCTCCAGAACACAGCTACYGATTGCAGTCAAAACTGACACGGTAATTGTTCCTTGCCCAACGGAAGGCTAAAACCATTTTGGGGTCAAAAGCCACAGGTGAAGGTCAGGTAAAGTCATCACTGTCACTTGAATCCCCTGTTTTGGTGACCTTAGGATTGCATCGCTGCCTTTTTGCAGATGTGGACCTATTGGTTTCAGCAGATCSTGATCTCCAACTCTCACTGGAGCGGTTCACAGCCGAATGTGAAGCAGCCGGGATGAGGTTTAGTGCCTCCAAATCCCAGACCATGGTCTTGGGCCAGAAAATAGTAGGATGCCTTCTCCAGGTCAGGGAGGAGGTCCTGTCCCAAGTGGAGGAGTTTAAGTATCTCAGGGTCTTGTTCATGAATGAGGGAAGAATGGAGCRGGAGATCAACAGGTGGATTGGTGCTGTGTCTGCAGTGATGTGGATGTTGTACCGGTCTGTCGTGGTGAAGCGAGAGCTGAGTGAAGCTCTCAATTTACTGGTCTGTCTACCACTCGGTCTACGTTCCTACCCTCATCTATGGTCAGGAGCTTTGGGTAGTGACTGAAAGAAGGAGATCACAGATCCAAGCAGCTGAAATGAGTTTCCTCCGTAGGGTACCTGGGCTCTCCCTTAGCGACAGGGTGGGAAGCTCAGTCATCTGGAAGTGGCCCTCAGTAGAGCCACTGCTCCTCCACGTCCAGAGGAGCCAGTTGAGGTGGCTCGGTCATCTCATGGTTTCCCCTACATGTAATTGATCGTGGCGCACTGCCACGGCTGAATAAAAGCCGCCACAGTTTAGGAATGAAGTTTATTTATTTATTTATTTATTTATTTATTTATTTATTTATTTTATCAACGTAAAACAGTGGTTGACACAATCATTG